GATGTTGGAACGGAAAGTGTTGAACAAATAYTATCCCCCGGATTTCAATCCGGCCAAGATCCCAAAGCTGAAGCTCCCAAAGGACCGGCAGTACATAGTGAGGTTCATGGCCCCCTTCAACATGAGGTGCAAGACCTGTGGTGAGTACATCTACAAGGGCAGGAAGTTCAGTGCCTGCAAGGAGACGGTGCAGAACAAACTCTACCTGGGGCTGCCCATCTTCCGCTTCTACATCAAGTGCACACGCTGCCTGGCTGAAATCACCTTCAAGACAGACCCCGAGAACACGGATTACACCATGGAGCACGGTGCCACGCGCAACTTCCAGGCCGAGAAGCTCCTGGAGCAGGAGGAGAAGAGGATGCAGAAGGAGAGGGAAGAGGAAGAGCTCAACAATTCCATGAAGGCCCTGGAGAACCGAACCAAGGAATCCAAGCTGGAGACGGAGGTCCTGGAGAACCTGCAGGAGCTGAAGGAGCTCAACCAGCGCCAGGCCAGCATGGATTTCGAGGCCATGCTGAAGCAGCACAAGGAGCTGGAGGAGGAGCAGAGGCACAAGGAGCAGGAGAAAGGCCATGCTGGAACAGGCCCAGAATCGCCAGCTCCTGGCGGATTCCAACTCGGATGAGGAGCCAGCCAAACCCTGCCCGGATCCCACAGCCAGGACAAAACCCACAGACATCCTGCAGGAGGAMCCCCAGCCCCAGAGCAAGAAGCCCAGAACAGAGAGCTGGGAGTGCAGCGTGGGCAAGCTCAGCACCAAGGCCCAGCTGGCCAGGCTGGTGGCCCCGAGGAAGCAGAAGCCGGCCCCTGGCCCGGACAACGGGATGGAAACACGAGGAAACAGCAGCTCCCTTCCAGCACCAGCAGCCACAGCCACATCCTCCCGGGGTCTGTTGGGAGCCTACTCGGACAGTGAGGACAGCACCAGCGACTGAGGATCCGCCGGGGCAGGGCTGGGGCTGTTTCAGCTCCTGGAGTCCCACGTGGAGCTGGAAATGCAGCCATGGGCCCAAGGAATCCGGGCCAACGCAGTCCCTACATCCTGCCCTGCTCCAGCAGCACGGGGAAGGCATTTTGGCATTTTCCCGACAGTGGGAATCCTGTGGGAAGCCCCAGTGATRTGTCCCAGCTCGGGTGTCCCATCCCAGTGTGAGTCCAGGGTGTCCCAACTCTGGGTGTCCCAACTCCGGGTGACTGAGCCCAGGGTGTCCCAGCCCTGCTCCCAGGATGGGTTTGGGGTGCCAGGGCAGGACTGGACTCTGCTGGGGCCATTCTGGGGGTGCCCGTCCCCACAGATCATCCCCAGSCCCGATTTGGGGTGCCCTGACCCTCCCCCAGCAGGGTCCTCGGGATGACCTCGGGGCCATCCTTCCTGCCGGGATCATATTTAAGAATAATCATTAAAACCCACACTCACATACAATTTTACTTACAACACAAACAAAAGATCAACTAAACTAAACAGAAGAAAAAGTTTTCTACAAACGTCCTAACACAAAACAGAAAGAAAAATTACACACAGTCCAACCCTAGAATCTTCACTACAGTTACAGCATAGATACATCACTATCACTCTACCTTTAAAAACAGCTTAATACTTGTTTTGCCCGTTGTTTTCGCCCAATTAGTATCCTTATCTCAGAGTCCTCATGAATGCCTGCATTCTCCACCAAAAAGTGTTGCGGTTTGGAATGCTGGCCAAAAGCCAAGCACACGCAACACCTGCTCATTCACGTTCCCCCACCACCACTGGGCAAAAAATAGCGAATGAAAAAAAAAGTTAACAAAATTTTTCATGAATTGAGATAAGGAGCAGGGAGGTGTCAGAGATTAAAATGCTACAGTTTATGACTTAAACATTTTCATGACAAACTTTCTGCATATTATAGCAAAACTATACAAAAGCTTCAGTGAAAGCCACCAAAACCCTGAATGGGACCCTGGCTACACTGCTCATTGCCCACTGATCAAAATAAGATACACAACAACTCAGAGCTGGAGAGAAGGACACATTCACAAAGGGATCACACTTAGCACCTTTGGGTGGGGACCATCCCCACAGGGCTATCAGCTGCCAGGCCAGCACAGACCCTCACACCAAAGGGTGATGAGGGGACAAGAGAGGCTTTGGGTGTGCCTGTGCTCAGAGGCACAGAAACCTCCATGCTCTGCTGTGCCAAGGAGCTCGGCTGTGGGGCCCTGCATCCCAGGACAAGCTGATCCAAGTGATGTGGACAGTCCAGGGGCTGTCATGGCCCATCAAAGACCCCCCCTCAAAGGGGTTCCCAGACCCTACACCGGAGATGATGCAACAAATTCACAGTGTTGCAAAGGACAGTGTCAAACCGAGCCCTCTGAAGGGGTGACATGTGGGTGTTCCCAGCTGGCCCAAAATGTTTATTAATGCACTGGATTCTGTATTCTTTGGCATGGCGGCAGCGGCCAAAGCTGTCCCCCCCAGAAGCTTCTCACAGGAGCCATCTTTTTGCCCCACCCCCCCTTGCAAAAACTGGGCCAAGAAAAACCGACACAGGTCTCACTCAGTAGTAGAAGTATCTGCTATAATATMTTTTCTTCTTACACATCATGAATTTTTACTTTGCTTAGGATAGAAGTACACTGTATAATGTTAAGCACTATACAAAGATAAAAAATTTTACTATAAMAGCACAAAGGGGTTCCCAAACTAATTACATAAATATTTACTGACATGAGCCATAAGCCTACACACAATGGTAGTTCAGCATGGTTACTGGTTCTGTGCTCCTCTTCCTGCTTCCATGCTCTTGACAGGCATCACACAGMAAAAAAATGTCACTGATGTCTTTCCATTGCATTGCAAAGGAGTGTTTTGCACCCAGGGAATAACAGGATGTAACAGTAGCTTTTGCATCACTCAACAACAGAATCCAGCATTTATAACATGACTCAGGAGCACACAGGAGGAGGGAAAAAGCAATTTTCTTAGCACTCTTTAATTCTTCATGGTATGAGAGTGCATCAGAATTTATGGCTACATAGCACATATATTTTGTCCCAGGAGAAAAGCCTTTCATAACCTGCTCATTTCTGTGGCAATCAGGAATTACAAAATCCAAGTCTACTCATAAATGTGGTGTCCTGCTGAAAGCAGTTTGATAACTATTTGATTAAAAATAGTTCAGTGTTCTGTTGTGTTTTCAAAACACAGACCAAAATGCTAAACCAACAGAATTTTTTAAAAGCAAGCTTTAATGATAGCCCACAAAATCAGTTATTTTTTTCTTGAAAATGGGGTCATTTGTTGTTAATTAAGCTTTTTTTTTTTCATTATTTGATTACATTAAGATCTGTTTTGCAACACAATAGCATGTGAAGGTCAGTATGGCTACAGGAGAAATCCTATATCCTGTGACAAATCCAATAACCATCAGGGTATTTGGTTCACAGAAGTAATGCATTTATTAAAATATTTTGCTGATTCGCTAGGGTATGGGGAGGCATTTTGCTGAGTGCATAGCATGAAATTCCCAGAAGGAGATAYGTTTTAGAGTGAAGTTGTCAACAAATGTTCTCATGGGACAAACCTTTGGCATAACAAAATAAAGAGTATACAAACAGGTTGTGAGGATTGAGGTGTTAAAACTAGGAAGGGTGGTGAGAAGTAGAAAGATGAAACCACTTTYCCCCYCTCTGCTTCTGCTTACACAGAGAGGGAAATGGTGAGAGGTATGATTTTTTTCATCATTTGCTGAACTAAACAGAAAATACAAACATTCATAAATCGTATTATGTTTAAGTTTTTTTAAAAGAAGTAAGGCAATCAAGGAAATGTGTTACTGCTGTACTTCCAAACAGAAACAGATATGATTTGTGGTAGAAAGGGGAACATCTCTCTCAGCACTATCCAAAGCAGCACCCACCAATAAGTGTTGTGCCAGTGTAGCAGGCATCATTCAGGGCATATCCCTGCTGCACCTTCTCCTCCTTGAATCATCGTGGTCAATAGCTATAAACTTCAACATATAAATTGTGAGATATATTTCTGAGTAGCAAAAATAGTAGTATRCTTAAAACTCAGACTAAAAAAGTAGGAATAAATACTGTATTAGAAAAATAGTTAGAGTACTTTACCCTACAACTCTATGTAAACA